CCACTGCCTGGCAAGAAGACTTCCTGCCTCATAGCATCTTCACCTGCTGACCCAGGACAAGTCTGGCCAGTTCTCAGTGTGGTACCGGGCAGTCTCATCTCAAACAGCTGGTCAGAGGACATTCCTATTGTAATTTAGCAACCCAAACATCGCAGGAATTCCATTTTGCCAAACAGCATGCCTTTCTCAGTTACCCCATTTCTGCCAAGAGGCTACCACAGGGGCATACAGTAGGGACATAGAGCCCACGAACTCTGGGTGGACCTCTGGGCTGATCCTCTGTCCATCTCCCAGAGCTGCCAAACTAGGGCCTATTCTGGAACAACGCCTCCATTCAGAGCATTCCAGCACTGCATTTTTGAAATGATATAGGCCCGGTCTGCTCAAATAAACTAGCATTCCCTTTTGTGTTGGCTCATTACGAGGAATGCAAAGTGTGGCAATTTGGATGGAGCCGGGAGAGGATGCTGAAAGAGATGTGCACCGCTTACTCAAACCGCATGTGCCCGGACACACGGAGCTGGAGAGATGCTCAGCAATTAAGAGCACTTACTGCTCGGGCAGAGGACCCAGGTTTGGTTCCCAGCACTCACCTGGCGCCTCTCAACCATCGATAGATAGCTCCAGTTCCATCGATAGATAGCTACACCTCACCTGACCTCCCCAGACACTCATGGCGCACATACATACACTCAGGTACACACACGAAGCCAAGTAAATCATTTAAAAAGAAGCAAACACAGCCGGACGGTGGTGGCACATGTCTTTAATCCCAGCACTCGGGAGGCAGAGGCAGGTGGATCTCTGTGAATTCGAGGCCAGCCTGGTCTACAAGAGCTAGTTTCAGGACAGGTTCCAAAGCCATGGAGAAAACTTGTCTCGAAAGAAAAAGAAAGAGGAAAAAGGTATCGCAGAACATTAATATTCTGTTTTGACAGTCTGTACTTCTGTCTGTCATGTAGGTTGTTACAACAAACCAAACCAATCATCTCCCAGATGCCTCAGTGTTTGATCACGGTAGCTCAGGTGTGCTTTTTAAAGTGTAAGAAACTTATGGAGAACGTTGTGACACCTTGTGATCCGTGGCTGGTAGATGCAGACGCTTTGAAGTCGGTGGGGGTGGGGGGGTGAGATGGGGTGGCAGTGAAAGTAGTTTCCTGTCATTCAGTCCCTTATTCTGTCCTTTGTAATTGTCTCAGATGAGTATATTTTTGGCAATTTTATATGAAATGTATTTTGTTCCTGTTCTTGTCTCCCTCACCTCCGAACCCCTTCTTTTCCAACTAGGACCCCTTCTACCTTCATGTGTGTGTTTCTTTCCCATTGGGTTTAACGGGGGTTGCTGCATGCACAATATTCTAAGTTCTATTTAAGCAGATCTGGAGGTGCATTGTTCTATCTATTTCCTTTTACATTAAAGTTTGTCTTTGCAGAACAAAGTCACTGCACAGATTGTGGAGCGATGACCAGCCCTGGACGAAGGCAGGCACTGGAGTGTCATGTGATGCTGGCCTTTTACTTTATGGGATTTTTTATCTCTCAAGTTCAAGTGTGAAATAATTTCAATAAGCCTCATCTTAGGCAAAGGAACACGATGGAAGCTGGTATTTGAATTTAAACATGTGGCATTTCCTCCCGTGGGTGTCTTTAAATACACTCACAGCACATCCACAACAAACAGCTTAGAGCACAGCAGGTTCTGGTCCCTATGGGAATTCCGATAGAGCTATCTTCTTAAGGACCCTTTGTAACTCAACACACAATCAAGATTGTGTGACCTTCATCCTAGCTAACTCTTGTTTAAAAAAAAAAAAAAGAAAGAAAGCCGCAAACTGCTCCACTTCCGATAAAATTTCTCAGATAAATCTTGAATATCTTCCCAGAGGAACGACTTCAGAAAACCTTTGGGTTTCTGTTAGGCGAGCCCTTGAAGGAACAGGCAATAAAAACTTAGAGAACTCTGCAAATGCGTGGAGCCAAGAAACTATGTGCTAACGTAATACAACACCGCCACCTAGAGGCCAGATGCTGAGGCACCAGACAGGGCAAACAAAACACTAAGCATGCTATTTACTTACTGTCCAGACCAGGGCAGAGACCTTGCCTTCAAAGCAAAGCCTTAGTGTGAGGCAGCTCACGTGTGCAAAGGCTTTTCCTCAGTCTTGGCATGCTGAGAAAAGCTAGTCAAAGAAGCCCGTCTCTTCATTGCCTTCAAGGACTGGTGCAGAATCAGTCAGCCAAGAAACAAGTTTGCTTAAGGCAAGACACTTGGAAAATGGTATTAAAATATCAGTCCCAGGTTGGGGGTGTAGAGCAAAGGTAGAGGGCGAGTACTCGCCTCCCTGAGTATGTTACCCTCACCTTCACCCCAGCACCAAAGATAAAAGTCAAATTCCACTCCCATCTGAATGTTTCAGTGTGGCCTTGTGTTAAGAAATGCAAAGCATAACCAGGCCTAAGAAGACGCACCAAGGTGAGTGGGCTTCTTTACTGCAGATCTCAGATCTGGCAATGTCTCTACAGTGACTGTACAAAGCCCATCTCCTAGAAAGGATGACAAGATGCAGGCTTCTAGATTGAATTGCAGTATTTTTTTAATTTACTTTTATTTGCATTGTTGCTTTGCTTGCACATATGTCTGTGTGAGGGTTTCAGATCTTGGATTAGAGACAGTTGCTAGCTGCCATGTAGGTGCTGGGAATTGAACTCCGGTCACCCGGAGGAGCAGTCAGTGCTCTTAACCACTGCGCCATCTCTCCAGCCCGAATTGTAGAATTCTTTTTCTGCCCTACCACATGAACAAACCCTCTCTCTGAAGCCAGCAAGGTCATGCGTCAGCATAAGGATAGAGACTCTGCAGAGTTCCAATTCTAACTCCAGCACTTCAATTTGCCTTCTCTGTGCCTCAGTTTCCCCATCTGTGCAATAGGAATAGAGTAGCTACTTCACATTATGAAGATGATTGGTAGTTGCTATTCCCTCATGTCCTTGGGTGTCTTGTAACACTGATAAGGCAGTTCTTAACACTGAGAAGCCTCTGGTTAAGAGAAACACCCTGCTTGATTCCCAGCACTTGGGAGGCTTAGGCAAGCAGCTGTCTGAGTTCGAGACCAGGCTGGCCTAAGCAAAACAAGAAAAAGACAAACAGAAACTTCCCAAAGTCCATGAATCTCAGGGCTTTTCCCAATAAGGGTTGAAAATGTCTTTTAAATTCATTTCTCTGTATCAGCACAGAGCTTCTATAAAATCAACAACCATCTTAGATGATCTTGATATAGGCACACATGCAAAACATATATCATACATACATTTATAATGTGTGCATCTATGTATGTGCACACCTATAAATGTAACACCTAAAACCTGTATATATATACACATATGTAAATGCCATATATAGCATTTACATCTGTGCACCTGTGAATGTGGGCACAGGAAAAGCAACACTTTGAGAACTAACGGCTGCACTGCAGAGGAAGTTAAAGGTGCTTGGCCAACCGTCCCAGTTTAGAGACAGCTGTAGAGGAACAGCCACTGGGGACCCACACATTTCAGGTCACCCTTCTTTTCCACGTCTTTTTTTTTTTAACTATATTACTTGGGAGGCAGAGGTAGGCAGATCTCTGTGAGTTCGAGGCCAGCCTGGTCTACAGAGGGAGTTCCAGGACAGTCCCCAAAGCTACAGAGAAACCCTGTCTCGAAAAAACAAAAAACAAAAACAAAAAAACTATTTTTCACTCTTTTCCTTTCTTAAATCACCCCTACACTTCTAATTTCGTTAAGTTAGAAAAAGTAATTTATTGAGCCCCTGAATAATGTGCATAGCTTATTAGTTTGTTTTTTAAGACAGTCTCCACTTTGTAACTCAGGCTTTCCCAGAGCTATGCACAACAGGCTGCTTCAAACTCCAGTTCTCCTACCTCAGAGCATTAAACTATGCTTCTCGTTGTTGCTGTCATCTCAGTTTGGGGGAGGAGAACTTGAGCTCCTGGCTCAAGTGGCCTTTCTGCCACAACAGCTGCGCGATGCAAATCTTGAGCAGCACCTCCAGCCCTGGCCAGAGGCAGGAGGCAACACGTACGGGGGCCAGGCTGCCGTCCATGCTCTGCCGTCCACAGTGGCATCTATGGTGTCTAGCCATCCTGGTTTACCGTGGCACCACTTTACAACTGTGGCTTAGGCATGAGGAAGGACATCCCTGCTTGGAGTTGAGGTGCACACCATCCGATCCACAGCTCTCCTATTTCTACTGTGACACAGGGACTGGTTACATACATCTAATAGCTTTTTGTTTCAGACAGCTTGTGACTTCTATTTTTGAAGTTTCAAAACTTAACTTCTGATTATGAAGATTCTGATTAGTCTAATTATGAAATTAAATATCCTTCAAACAATACTTTCTTCTGGTTAACAAGTATCTCTTCAATCGGCTTAGGCTCACCTAACTATGCTTTTATGTAAACATTGACATCCAGGTCAATGAGTACCCAGGAGACTTGGTACCATTATTTTAGAGGTTCACTTGTGTTTGTCAGGGGGGGAGGGGGGGCTAAAGGCACACATGAGCTATAGTGTATGTGTGGAGGTCAAAAGACAACTCACATGAGTGTGTTCTTGCCTTCCACCATGTGGGTCCTAGGGACTAAATTTAGGCAACCAGGCTTGGTAGCAAGCACCTTCCCCAGCTGAGCCCTCTCACCTGGTCCTCTACTCCTGCTCTACCTCACAGTCTCCTTACCTCAGCTTGCACGCAATGTACAAGCCATGCCAGGTTCTGGACACTCCCCACCACCAGTCCCAAATCCAAACACGTTCTCACCCGAACCTACACCTCCTACCCACAGCAGAAATGAGTCATGGAAAGGACATCAAGACAGAGCCCAAAGAGCTCAAACAGAAGGAATGGTAACCGTACATGGCAGTAAAGGACGGGAGCTGATAGAGAATGAGAGCCATCGTGTCTGACCACTAAGCATTCTCACACTTCACACAAGGAAAACTGTTTTTGGAGTAAATACATTTATTGATACCCATTTTACATATAGTTCAATGAAATAATCTATAAATATAAAAGCATTTTTCCTTTGGATATCACATGGTCCATGTAAATACTCAACAGTCAGCCACCTGCAGGAAGCGCTCCCAGTCTCACTGCCTGGGTACAGACCTGAGCGTCACTCAGCAGCGGCACTGATGCACTCATGTGGCCCAGCGGTCCTGGACTGTGGCTATTGGGCATCTGAAGCAAAGACAATGTGGAAGTCTAAATCAATGGGAAGGGTATCAGCCATGAACAGGAGAAAGAATTATGAATTCATATTCCAGGCAAAGGAAAGTCCCTCAGCTGACACTTAGTGTCAGGACTCCGGAGACAGGGATGTAGAGTAACACACACTGCCCACTGCATGCTTCTTCCAAGTCACAGTGGACAGTCCACCCGAGCCTCAGGGCCACCTGTGTCAAAAACAATTCTTAAAGAGCCTACAGAGCACAGAATAAAAGACAGGGCGTCAAAATTAAAGAAAAGTGAGTTAAGCACTTCAGTGACATAATGAGTTTGCCCCTCTCTGCGGGGACTGTGGGGAAAACCCTTCTGTCCTAAATTCCCTTTGTTACACTGTGCATGACCCCGACCTAACAAAGAGAGCACATCCGTCTGCCACCAAAACACGGGTGTGGAAATCCTCTTGTTTCAGTTTTTTCCTCGACACATCCAGGGAACTGATGCAGCCCTTGTTGAGCCTGGCTCTCCCCGATGCTGCACAGACACCTCCTCTCTTCTCTCCTTCAGGACAAACACAGAAACACCCTTTGCAGCATCTTCCAAGGCAGCAAGTTAACGCATTTCCACAGGCTGCGAGGTACAGTGAAACCTGAGCTCTGAGAGGCAGTGTTAGAACGTAAGCAAAGCAAGGTCTTTAGACACTACTCAAGTGAGAGCCTAAGGGAAGCATACAAAACTCAGTTTTCCTATAGTTTTAGGCTGGAACTGACAGCAACATTCACTGGTAAAGATGGATAACTGGTATCATCTCCAGGTCCAAATTATTCCAACTATTTAAGGTTGGACCCAAAGAGGAGAAAGACACACTGAGTTCTGAGGTCTCTGTAATTCTTTTGTGCCGTATTTTAAAGAGAAGGCCTTTCATCTAAATGAGAAACTCCACCACCGTCTCTAGACTCCCATAGGCAGCAGCTCCCGTGTCCTGTAGCACATGGCATCCGACTCTGGAGGGAGGAGTGGGCTGGCACTGGGCCTTGATCGCTGAGATTCAGACTAGATGGCATTCCGCGGCGTGCCATTGTGTGCCAATGCTTTCAGGCTTGGGGCACTGGTCTGGTGACTGCAACTCCTGTGAGACGTCACACCCACCTCAAATACCTCATGGATAGCTTTTCGGAAACAGTGGAAGTTGTAGTCTATCAAACCTGTGAGAGAGCAAAAAAAGCCTGTCTGTTTAATGTCAACTGTGAATCTCTCCACTCTCTGAAACTCTGTACACTGCAATCATGATAAACCAAGAACTCAGCTGCTGACACTGTTGAATTTAAAGCAGGAGTGGACAAGGAGGACCAGTAATATAACAAATCAAGAGGGGCCCTGCGGTGGTGACACATACCTTTAATCCCAGCACTTGGAAGGAGCAGAGGCAGGCAGATCTCTGTGAGTTGGAGGCCAGCTTGTTCCTAGATAGCCAGAGCTGTTACACAGAGAAACCCTGTCTCTAAAAACCAAATGAAATGAAATGAAATGAAAGAAATAATCAAGTGGGAAGGTGAATGTGTTAATGAAACCTGAATTGAGGGATGCAGGAAGCAGGAGGCAGCATGAGTGCAGCTCATCAGGACCCAGCAGCCTGCAACCAGCTTCAGGAGGGGAGACTTCCTCTCCATTTGTTTTAGAAACTGAACATCCACTTGAGGCTTTGGGGGAACAAAGGTTTCTCCTGTGACAGAAAAGCAGGTCAACAGTCTCCCCCTGCCTTTTTTTACATGTAGAACCCCAATTCCAAATGAGCAGCTGATATTGAGCTTAAAACATTCCATTTCTCAGTCTCCCGAGCTACATCAGGCATTTGGCTCGAAATTCTGAAATGCCCAAACTGAACAGCAAGCTCTTCAATTCTTAGAACCACCAATATACACCCACTAGCGTAGCAAGACCACCCACCTGCACTTGTCCATATCAAACACCAAAAAGCACTCTGTGACCTACCTAAACATCATGTGACCTTTCAGTAGTTTATAGCAGACTGGGTAAGTCTCTGAACATCATGTGACCTTTCGGTAGTTTACAGCAGACTGGGTAAGTCTCTGAACCCTACTGACAGCGGATGTAACGTGTCAAAAGCAGCAGCATCAGGTCCACACTCTCACATATGCTAGCTGGGGCAGAAAGCCAAAACACAACAAATCAAAACAATCTGCCAGCTCAAGTCCACAGAAGGGAGAGCTAAATGCAGGCAGGGCAAAGCTGGCAGTGAAAACTTCATAGATGGGGCTGAACTTTGTATATACTGGCTAGATTTCAGTAAGTCCTCTCACTTTTGTACATGTGCACACATACACATCAACAAATGTAACAAAATTCTAAAAACAAAAACAAGTTACCAAAGAAAGCTGACTGTCTATGAAAAGGTGCGTGTCATGAAAAGATAACTGAAGATTAAATATGTAGACAAGAGACACCATTTCACACCTACAGACCGAGAACACAGAAGTCCAACAGTATCAAGCCTTATCAAGGAGACAACATGATGAGACTCCCTCACATTGCTGCGAAGGTGAAAATGGAGAAGTCATTTGGGAGAGCCCTTTGTCAATGTGTCTACACGTTCTGTTCCTGCATACTCACCCTAGAAACACATGACGCGGTACAAAGCAAATCTGGTCATGGACATTGGCTTTGGCTTGGGGTTTGTTGCTGTTACTGCTGTTTGTTCATTTTTTTTTTTTTAAAGCAGTCTCTCATGCAGCACAGGCTGGCCTCAAATCCATTAAGTAGCCAAGGATGACTTAAACTCCTGATCCCATCTCCATCTCCCATGTGCTGAAATTATAGGTGTGCACTACCATACCCAGTTCATGTGGTGCTAGGGACTACGAACCCTACATGCTACAGAAACACTCTAACAGTGGAGTTACATTCTCAGCTGAAATGGGAGGTCCTTCTGTATATGTGTTGCTTTTATTGGTTAACGAATAAAGCTGATTTGGTCTATGACAAGGCAGAATATAGCCAAGCTGAAAGATATATAGAGAGAGTAGGAGGCGCCAAGGAGATGCCCTGTAGCTGCCAAAAGAGAAAGACACCCCCAAGAACCTACCGGTAGGCCAGTCTGGTGGTGATACATAGATTAAATGAGTTAATTTCAGATGTAAGAGTTAGTTAGAAATATGCCTGGGTAATTGGCCAAACCAGGTTGTAATTAATACAGTTTCTGAGTGATTATTCGGGTCTGGGCAGCTGGGAAACAAACAAGTAGTCTCTGCTTACAAAATGGCGCCTAACGTGGTAATCCCAAAGAAATAACATCACCTTCATGAGAGCTGGAAGTAATTCTAGAAAACAATGTCCCCTCTCCCAACAAAGTTTGTCCTCAGGGCTAGGGATATTATTAGGGGTTGGTTATAACTGGTATGGGGTTGGGTGTAGAAATGAAGTAGGCTCAAGGATCTCTCTCGAAAAAAGAAAAAAAGGAATGGATGGAATGGGATAATAGGTAGATTACTGTGAGCTTACTCAGACCAATAATAATAATAGGGAGTAATAGTGAGATCACTTGTGAGCTATTATTTATAGATAATTTACATTGGTATAAATTCTTGTATATTGATACAAATTCAAATTACATTTGTTATATTGAATATACTCCTATTTCTGTTAATAACATTTGTGCACCCATGCAAAGTTATTTTGTCTATTTTATGCATGCATGTTTCTACCTCTGCTTAAGATATTTTGCATAGTGATACAATTTTAGAATATATTTATCATACTGCATGACACATTTCTACCTCTGATCAAAATACTTATATATTGTTTAGATTTTGAGGTCACTTTCCTCATTTGCTGCACATTTGTTTAAAGATTGTTTAATATTCTAATATGAAGTCTTAGTCTTTAAGCTATATAGGTATTAAGAAATACAGGCCAATGGTCATCCATGTTTGTCATGCTTATAGTTAGACTAATCAAGTTCTTTAGCTGCATAGAGATTGTATTCTACATACGTAGATAATCTTCAAACACTTCAAATAACTATAGAATATGACATTTAAATAACTTAGGGTTCCGTTGATGTGAGACACAACTGCTCCTGGCAGCACCAATCTATTCCCAAAAGAATGTTGGGCACCAAATACACTCCACTTGGACCTTTTTTTTTTTTTTTTTAGATTTTTTTCTTAATTATGTATACAATATTCTGTCTGCATATTATGCCTGCAGGCCAGAAGATGGCACCAGACCTCATTACAGATGGTTGTGAGCCACCATGTGGTTGCTGGGAATTGAACTCAGGATCTTTGGAAGAGCAGGCAATGCTCTTAACCACTGAGCCATTTCTTCAGCCCCAGAACCTTGTTTTCTTCTTGGCAAAACTGGCCTTTGGGCAAAGAACTGTCCCTGCCTCAACCACTGACAAAATGCACAGTGTCCAGATTGAACAAGCAAAATACAAGCAAAAAGACTGTCAAATCTTGCCAAGACAGAATAAACAGTTTTTCAAACTTTTCTGCCTCTGAAAATGGTCTATTAGATACTCTAGGCCTTAGTCAAAGTTGGCTGCCCCAATGTTACATACGGGACTTTGGATTATTGCGCAGGTAGTTGGTTGTCTCTGTCATTTCTTGTACCTTTTAGAAATTGCATGATTGCACCTCCTGTTTACTCAAGTCTTTGATGGGATTGAAGATTAGATAAGTCATAGTTACTTTTCCTCTCATGACTTAGTCAAGACATTTTTAATATAAGGCAGACTCCTTAGGATAGAATATAGAGTAACTACTAAAATATTTAGGGTACGTTTCTTGTTTGGTGTTGTTCATGCTGGCTGCAATTCTAATTTTTATATATGTTTTTGCCTCTTCTTTTCCCTGGACAATACTTGATATTTGTTCTTATTGTATATGGTTTTGTCATAGGCTTATAACTCTCTTATTTAGACAAAAGAGGGAGGTGCTGTGGGAGCTCCTTCAGCCAATAGCCTTTAAGATAGAGGTCCACTTTGGGCATGGTCTCATGTACTATAAATGCAGATAAAAAGCATGCATGTTTTGTGTCAACTTGACATGAAACACGAGCAAGTCATCTGGGAAGAAGGGATCTTATCAAGAAAATGCTGTCTGAGGAGATGCCTGTAGGAAAGCATGTACAACACTTTCCTGATGATTGATGATTGAGGGCCCACCTTTGTGGTGGTGCCATTCCTGGGCTGGTAGTCCTGGGTTCTATAAGAAAGCAGAGTGACCAAATCATGCAAAGCAAGCCAGTAAGCAGCACCCCTCAATGGCTTCTGCCATCAGCTCTTGCCCTGTTTAAGTTCCTGCACTAACTTTCCTTAGTGATGGACTGTGATTGGAACTGTGAGCTGAAACAAACCCTTTCTTCCCAAAGCTGTTCATGGTCATGGTGTTGATCACAGCACAGAGACCCTAATACACCTAGCTGGCCTCAGGCGTACAACAACCCTCCTGCTTCTGCCTTCCAAGGCTGGAACTAAAGAGATGAGCCATCATATATGGCTTACTCATGGGTTTTTGTCACAAAATTAGTTGTACCTTTAAAATAATCCAAATGGGAACTGGACAGTGGTAGTGCATGCTTGTTATCCCAGCACTGGGAAGGCAGAGGCAGGTGGGTCTACAAGTGAGTTCCCAGACTACACAGAGAAACCCTGTCTCCAAAACAAAACAAAATCTAAATGTCTAGCAACAAAAACAAACTTCAAAATGCAACAGTAGGAAATCTCAAAAATAACCTTGAACAAGGAGAAAAACAGATGTTGCAAAAACTAACTTCAACTCGGCATCATTTGCACAATATTGCTTATGGATAGGTACGAAACAGAATAAATTATGCATAGGAAAAATAAAATACACAGCACCAAAAAAGGAATCTAGATCAAGAAAAATATACAGAAGACTGCAGGTGAATGTCATGCCAGCTCTTTTCTTAGCTATGTGCATATGGGGTATGTGGATTTATGCACTTGAATGCAGTGCCCATATAGGCCAGGAGGCATCAGATCCTGGAGCAACAATTATAGGTGGTTGTGAGCTACCCTGCCTGGCTGCTAGGGTCATTTGAAAGAGCAGGATGTGATCTTAACCACTCAACTACCTCTCCAGACTCCACACTGGTTCTTAATATGAATGCACATAATTTGTTTAATATGGGGAAAAATTTATATATAAATGTTTCTTTTAAGGATCAGGCAGAAGAATGAGATTTTTTATGTGTTTGTTTTTTGAGACAGGGTTTCTCTATGTAACAGCTCTAGCTGTCATGGAATTCTAGCATTCAGGAGGCAGAGGCAGAGGCTGGCAGATCTCTGTGAGTTCAAAGCCAGCCTGGCCTAAAAAGTGTGTTCCAAGACAGCTAGGTCTACACAGAGAAACCCTGTCTTGAAAAGCCAAAAGAAAAAAAGAAATAATTGACAAAAACTCAATGTGAGAAATGCAGAAGAATGAAAAAAGGAACTATGAAACCCCATCTATGGACACCAATCTACAAAGAAATCTTAAAAACACCAACTACCTACCATAAGAAACTAAAGTTTAAACATGAGAAAAATGACATAAGGTATGTCAAAAGCAGGGTAGATAAGCATCAGAAAGGAAAAGATGTGGGGGGTCATCATCAAAGATGACTGCACACAACGGCCAGAACACTGGCAAATACTGAAGCAGGGATGCTTCACTAATAGGTCCACACACAGTACTACAACACAAGCTCCAGAAAGTTGCAGGTGTAAATTTTCAGTCACAAACTGACTAACCCAAGCCATGAACTAGGGCTGGAGAGCCAGCTTAATGGGCAAAAGCACTTCCCCATTTAAGCCTAACAACCTAAATTCAATCCCTGGAGCCCACGGTAGGAGAGAACAAACTCTCCAGCCATCTACTGAAGGAGCTGACCTGAAGAGACAGAAGCAAGCAGAAAGATTTGACTCTGAAGAACATGGGATAAGGACAAAGGAAACCAGCCAGAAGGGATTAGGAGACAGAAAAAATACACAAGGTGATCCAGAGAAGAAAGTCGTGACTGCTCAAGGAAGGACTGACAGCCACATGCTCCAGAAGACTGAGGAGGCTGCAGAAGAAAAGGCCATCAATGAAACAAGAGAAGACAGCTGAGGACTTTTTCGGATGGAAAACAAACCACAGGCAAGAACAGCCAACACAAGTACATGGAGGAAGAGGGGATGGGATCAAACCTTGATTTAAAGCATAAGATTAAAAGGAAAGAGAATGTCTGGGCTATGTGTAGTGAGTGACATTTCATTTTTTATTTTAATAAATAAAGCTTGTCTGAAGATCAGAGAGTAAAACAGCCCCACTGGTCAGCCTTAGAGACCAGGCAGTGGTGACACACCTTTAATCCCAGTAGCCACACTAGTGGGCAGTAGTGATACACACCTTTAATCCCAGCCCTAGAGAGTAAGATGGGAGGAAACAGTCTCATTCTGAGATTCCTGGAGGCAGGATTGCCATCTTTGGACTGAGGTCAAGGTAGTGGTAAGAGCCAGTGGCTGGCTGTTTTTGCTTTTCTGACCTTCAAGTTGAACCCCAAAGTTTGACTCTGGGATTTTATTAATCATGCTACAGCAATATATAGACAGACAGCATGGAAGTATTTAAGAATCACTTGTATGATAGTAATTAGTATTATGGCATAATACTACTTTCAAGAACCTGAGAAATCATAACAAAAATTGTAACTTAACAGCTTTTTAGCTGGGCGTTTTGGCCATGCTTTTAACACCGGCATTCAGTAGGCAGATGAGTTTCTGTGAGTTCAAGGCTGGCCTGGTCTACGTAACAAGTTCAAGAACAGCCAGAGTACCATGATAGAGATCCTGCCTCAAAACTCAAAACAACAGCAAAAGAACAGCTCTTTAAACTGGAGATGGCTCAGAGGTTAAGAGCTCTGGCTGCTTTCCCAGAGGACCAGGATTTGATTTCTAGTACACACTTGGTGGCTACAACCATCTGTAATTCCAGTTCCAGGGCATCTGACACCTGCTTCTGGCTCCTGTGGGTACTGCATACAAGTAGTTCACAGACATACATGCAAGCAAAATATGTACATAAAATAATAAAAATTAAAAAAGAGAAACAAACAAGCAACTCTTTGAGAGCTAGAGAAATGGTTCAACAGTTAAAAGTGCTTGCTGCTCTTGTACAGAACCCAAATTTAACCAAATTTAATTACCAGCACCCAACGGAGCCTCAAAAGCACCTATAGCTCCAGCATTCCAGGGGCTCCAATGGCTTCTTTTGCCCACCTTGGGTTCCTGCATCCCTGTGGTACTCATACATATACTCAGGCATACATACAAACATATAAAATAATAAGCCTTTTTTTTTTTTTTTTTTGGTTTTTTAAGACAGAGTTTCTCTGTGCAACAGCTCTGGCTGCCCTGGAATTCACAAAGACTCCCCTGCCTCTGCCTCCTGAGTGCTGGAACTAAAGGTGTGTGCTACCACAGGCCTTTTTTCTTTTTAATGATAGTTCACAAAACCCTACACTCTGCAATTCCAGTTCGAGGGGAGCCAATGCTTTTTTCTGGCCTCCACCAGCACTGCATATATGTGATACATAGACATGCACATGTACATGTATACCTAACACACACACACAGTAAAAAAATAAAAAGGAAAAAAATTAAACAATGAATAATAAATACAAAGTTTTTTAAAAATCTTGAAAAAAACTTTACCTTTTCGTTCAAAGCTTTCTTCCCTAAGAATGCAAACCAGTGCCAAAAATTTAGTGACTTCCTTTAAATAAAGGACAGTTGTGTTATTCAGCTTGATAATGGCCATCGATTCTTTGTCATAGGCACTTCCACTTCCATCTTCCTTCAATCTATTTTAAAAGAAAGCACCACTTATTACAAGTTTCCCAACTAGGCATTTTGTACAGGAGCAAACCTTTCCACCCCATCCTACACATCTTTTGAGAAGGAACAATACTGCCTTAAATACTGGGGCAGCCATCACTTTAGGGAGAGATTCCTAATACAACCCAGGAGCCTCTGCTAGCAGCAAAGCTGTGCATGTCCCTCTGCATTTCCATCATCAAGCATTTGGAAACAAAGATGGCAATGATGTAGCTCTGAACCACAGACATTTCCAAAATCATGCTGGCCAGGCCACTTGCCTGCCCAGACCGTGCTCTCTCTCACGTCCCTCAAGCTGGTGTAAGGTGGTCAGCCTGTTACTGTAGGACATATTCCACAGGTCAATCCAATCACTCCTTCTCTCAGACATCTTTTGTTGTTTTCTCAATCCTCACCACCCCAAAAATAAAAATTCAAGAAAATTCATAAAGTCTATAGAAGACTAGTCCCAGACAGGAATTATGTTAAAAATCAAGAACTTTTAGATGGAGTTTGAGGGCTGGTGAGGCAACTTATCAGGTAGTTTTTGGTGCCAAGCATGACAAGTGGAGTTCGAGCCACAAACAGAAACACAGGAAAGACTCCTGCCACGTGCCCTCCGTGCACCCATGGCACCATAGCATGCATGCACCTGTGCTGCTCAGAACTGACAGTCGTCAAAACTGCCTCTTTGGGGGCTGGAAAGATGGCCCACTAGTTAAAAGTACTCACTTCTCTTCTAGAGGACCCAAGTTTGGTTCCCATCACACACATCAGACAGCTCAGAATCCTGCCATTCCAGTTTCAGCAGTCTGAGGTGCCCTCTGGTCTCAAGGACACACACATACACGGTGCACATAAACTCATGCAGGCACACAGACAGACACATACTCATAATAAACAAAACACATCTTAAAAGAAGTATTTTTGCCTTCCAAAGGAGGATGAAAGGCCCAGCACTCAAGAGTCTAGGGAAGAGGATGAGAAATTCAAGGCAAGCCTGGCCTAAAGTAAGACTGTTTCAAAGACAGAAAAAAAAGCAATCCAAAAAAATTGTTTAAAAAAAAAGCTAAGGAAACATACAAAGAAAATGCTATCAACAGGTATCTGGAAGGAAACAAGGCTCCCCTCCTGTTTTCTCTTGCATTTACCATCTCATGTATTGTTCTCATGAAGAAGGACCTATTTTTCAAATTGCTCTAAATCTTACAGCTCACCTTTTCATACATTAATTTGATTCACACAGCCCAGAGACAAATTGTTACTGCTGCCTTATTTAACCACTTTAACATAGGGGTGGAGCACAACATAGCAACCTAAATACAAATAAAGTCATAAAACTCTAGTTCATAAAAAGTAAAAATATGTCTGGCAAGGTCTGGACTCAAACTTAGGGTTTTCATTCAGTCCCAGGCAGTAGGGAAGTCTGACCCATATGCTTTAGAGTACAGTATAAAAGGAAACCGCTTCCTCCTAATGGAAGAAGAGGAAACGCTCTGTGCTGTCAGCTGATAGCCAGAGGTCAAGGATATCCTATTCTGTGCCACACAGGAAGTGAGAGCAGGCACCAGCTGACAACAAGCCAGTTCAGACATGCATGGACATCTGTGGCTGGACCCACAGCCAGCAGTTGCAGTCTCCGGTGTTGAGCCACATGATTCCAAGTCACACACTAACATGAGAAAGTTATGTCATGAAGCCCTGAGTTCAATCCCTGGAACCCACATTAAGGTAAAAGAAAAAAAGTGACTCCAAAGTTGCCCTCTGACCTCCATGTGTGTGTCACAACACACACACACACACACACACACACAAATAATCTTTTTAATTAAAAAAAATGTTACAAGTACATCCTTGACTGGGGACACAGATTTATAAGCACTTACTTGCTTAGCAAATGCAAGGCTATAGGGGCAGAGAGAACAAGAGAGACATCTAGACAGCTATTTATGTCTAGATTAGACAGATTTTGATGATTAATAAAGTTAAGAAATAAAATATGCTAATAAAATATGACCTTAAAAAGTAGACTTAAAACTTACAGGGTTTTTTGTTTGTTTCTGTTTTGGGTCAAACTCTCTATGTAAGATTTCGAGGCGCCTAAATTAGGGATGTAGCTGACTTCCATCCCCAGCACCAGAGAAAAGCACGTGTGTGTGGTGATGGACACCTGTAATCCTAGCACTTGGGAGGTGGAGACAGGAAGTTCAGCACACGAGGGCCAATCGAGCCTGGAGTACGCTGCACAGAAGAAACCAGAGAGTACAAGGGAGGGGGACTTGATTGGGGGAGGGGGAGGGAAAGGGGAGGCGGCGGTGGGGAAGAGACAGAAATCTTTAATAAATAAATAAATTAATTAAAAAAAAATAAAAGAAAATGTAAAAAAAAAAAAAAAGAAAAGAAAAGAAACCAGAGAGTGCCGGGCAATGGTGGCACACACCTTTAATTCCAGCACTCGGGAGGCAGAGGCAGGTGGATCTCTGTGAGTTCAAGACCAGCCTGGTCTGTAGAGCGAGTGTCAGGACAGGCTCCAAAGCTACAGAGAAACCCTGTCTCGAAACAAAACAAAACAAAACAAAGAAAGAAACCAGTGAGACCCTGTCTCAACAGGCAGAAGGTGAGAACCCACTCCTGAAAGTTGCCATCTGACCTTCACATTGAGCACCGTGGAGGACGCACACACAAAATAAATAAATAAATGTTAGAAAAATGTAAACTGGCTTTTAAATTTTTGGTTAGTTTTCTTTTTTTTTTTTAAAGCAATATGCTCTGACCGTCTATTTTTAAGAATGGAAAACATGAAAGTTTACTGAGTAACAGACCACCTCAGTTTTATTACAGAAAATAGTACAAGGGACAGCATATAATCAGCGAGAGTAGATAGAAACAGACAAGGTAAGGCATTCTGTTCACAGGCAGCTGAAGGAAGGTGCTGACAAACCAGGCACGCAGACAGGATGGGCAGGTGTACATGGTAAGAGACTTATTTCAGAAATCTCATGCATACATCAGATATTTTATGTGCAAGTCCTTCTAACAACTAAAGTTCTGATTTTTTTTTTTTTTTTTTTTTTTTTGCTTATCTGTTTGAAACATGGTCTGTCTCATTAATGATGTAGCCCTGGTTGTCCTAGAACTCACTCAAACTCAGAGATCTGCCTGCCTCTGCCTCCACATTTCATTCAGTGTAAGGCAGAGGTAGGAATTAGATAAGGTTCCCGCCTCCCTGGGATCTCGCAAGAAGGTGTAAAGCACTTACCCATATATACAAGACACATCAATTACAACATCAATCATGTCACAGCAAAGTTCGTAAGACTGCATATCCACAGGAGAACTGTCTGTTGCAATGTAGATTTTGCTGACAACATCAAAGAGAAAAGCTTTTTCAATACCTGAATTCTTGGGAAAACAAAATTGGATAAGTGTTCAGTTTCTTTTAGGAATCACAATTTGCAATTTTTCAAAGGCCTTAAATTATTGAAAAAACATTCTTAATTTTAAAAGTAATATTCCCCATTTTTTTAAAGATTTATTTATTTATTATGTATATACAACATTCTGCCTCAATGTATGCCCGCACGCCAGAGGAGGGCGCCAGATCTCAGTACAGATGGTTGTGAGCCACCATGTGGTTGCTGGGAATTGAACTCAGGACCTCTGGAAGAGCAGCCAGTGCTCTTAACCTCTGAGCCATCTCTCCAGCCCTCCCCATTTTGTTTTTTAATGGTTCTGGGATAATGAATGCAGAGTTCAATAAATGCTCTACTAATGAACTCCACCTGAACCCTTCCTATCACCTTTAAGAATACAATTAAACATCAAAAACAAATGATGCTTGGTTGGGAGACCTTAAACAGAGCCTTACAAAGCATGTATCTCAATCATCCTGCTTCTGTATCTTGTGTTTTGGAAATACAGGTGTACACAGCACATCCAGCAAGGATTCATTATTATTATTACTTTTGTGTGTATGCAGTGCTAGAAACTGTTCCTATGGCTTTTCACATACTAAGCAGTGCCCTACCACAAAACTACATCCCAACCTTCAATTAAAGAAGCTTACAATTAAAAAAGTACAGGGAACTTTACCTAAAAGACAAACAAACAAACACCAACTACCACCACCACCAACAACACACAGGGAAACAACTGAAGCTATTATACTTTATGCTATTATTTATCCTATACGACATGTTGAGTCACTGATCTTTATTTCAAGTACCATTTTTATGGAGAATTAAATGCAAACACATTTAATAACAATGACAGAATTGAAAAATTATATCAAAAGTAAATAGTTCACTTACTGATATAAAAATATTTAATAGGTTTTCCAAAGTTGGCAGTTGTGGAATGAGTTTCTGTACCACCTTACTGAAGGCTTCAAATATTGAATGGTCATAGATGCTAGTCAAATAAAAGCTGGAAAATTCAACACCAGATGGTTACTTCATAAATTCACCAACTACTGTCACAATGCCTTAAATTTCCGTTTCTTAACGCTCAGATGTACCCTGTCTCATATCCCCATCATTTCTGACAGCTACGACCATTTCCCAACCTGGCCGTGCCAATCACCCCTTGACTACACTACACAGAGGGCAACTGAGGGAGCACCCAAGAAGGCTCATCAAAAGAGAAACCCAGAGGGTCACACACGCTTTGCAAACCACCCCTTAAAGCTTACTTCACAAGCACAAAACTGAGACAAAAGCCAAGACTAAAATTCAAGGTAGAGACAGGGTCATTTGTTTTTATGTATGTATGTATTTATTTATTTTAGACAGAGTAGCAGGAACCCAGGTTGGCCTCAAGCCCACTATATAGCTGAGGATGACCCTGAATTTCTAATCTTCCACATCCCCAAGTAAAGCTGGGATTACAGTCCTTTGTCACCACACCCAGCAGTTATGTGGTATTTATTACATAATACAATTCACATTTCAACTGAAACATCACCTCGAGAAGTTCTTTCCTGTCAGCCATGGTGGTATATAAGTCTGTAATCCCAGCCTTGGGAAAAGGCAGATGGATCTCTGAGTTTGAGGCCAGCCTGGTCTACATAACAGAGTTCCAGGATTATACAGTTAACTCCTGTTATTTCCTCTCCTCCCACTACCAGCCTACATACATAGTAAACCTATTCCTGCTACCCTTCTGCCATAACTTGTTCTTCACAGCACTGGTAAGTACTTAAACTCCACCATACATTTCTTACGATCGTGAGCCCCAGGAGAAAAGCAGCTGCCATCTCTCTCACAGTTGCAAGCCCATTGCCTGAATAGTGTTCAGGATTTGCTGAGTGAACAAATCAGTCTGCAGCCATAACACCCTGAAACACCTGACCTCTTCTGACTGCATGACTACACTGGTCCTCAGGATTAGGTAATTAGTCTAAGGAAGATTGAGAACTATAAAGAGTAGGAGTTGGACTCTAAAAGGATTATAGTGAAGAAATCACATGTAGATTTAATAAAACACAAATTTGTCCTTAAACACTATGGACAATTCCACTTTTTTTTTCATTAAGGACATTTTTTTATTTAATTGCATTCATGATCTATTTTATATAAACATTACCACATCAGAAATGAGGAACTGTGTTTGTACTTTACAGATGGCGTAAAGAAAATCTGAAGGAAGTACATAAGAACTTAATCAAGAAGGGGCTCTACTCTAAAGGTGGCGGGTAAGGCTACGTGACTCCTGACACTAGCAAAGAAGGGACATTTCAGTGTTTCCGTTAGGCAAAAACTTGAGAAATGTTAGAGTCATCAGGACCTGTGAGGACTGGAGATGGTGGGGACTCACAGAACCTGCAAGGCACAGAGCATGTTCAGAAGCTGAGTTCCTAGAAATGGAAAAGCAAGCTGTACCTCACCCATATAACTGCTGGTACTAAACAGAGGTTTGGGATGTGCTGGCGGAAGCTCAAGGGCAAAATGCTTGCAGAGAGTATGCACAAGGTCCTGGATTCAATTCCCAACACACATAAACAGTAAAAGTCTGATGCAAAATTCTGCTGAGGCTAGGCTTATTGCAGTGCCTTCTAAGTACAGGGGAAAACATGGAATGTCCTGGAGAGCTCGACAGGAGTTGACAAGGAGCAGACAGAATAACATTGGTTCCTCACCAGTATAAGGAAGCCGGCTTTAAGTTCTGGCAAAAAATAAAATTAAAAAAAAAAAAACTATAGGGCTGGAGAGATGGCTCAGTAGTTAAGAGCACTGACTGCTCTTCCAGAGGTCCTGAGTTCAATTCCCAGCAACCACATGGTGGCTCACAACCATCTATAATGAGACCTGGCGCCCCCTTCTGGAAATGCGGACACACATGGAAGGAATGCTGTACACATAATAATAAAAAAAAAAAAACTATATTACCATATCCCTAAGATTTTATGGGATGGCACTTTTACTTTCTCTTATGAACATGTATTTACTTTTGCCTTTCAAGACAGGATCTTACTAAGTAGCCTTGGTTGGATGACTTCAAGTTTGCACAATCATCCTGCCTCTGTTTCCCAAGTGCTGGGATTACAAAAGTACAACACCATGCCCAACTCCGATAAAGACTCTACTTTATTCTTTTTAAGCATAAATTACCTAGAAATGTTTTAAAATTTTAATCTAAGAGGATCAATGAGATTTTCCCTACCATGTTTCCTTAGAACTACCTGAAATATTCTACAACCTAAGGCCCATATACTTTAGGAATAGAACAATTGGCTGGAATACAGAAGGAAGTTTTTATAATAGAGCAGGGATAAGGAAACTACACTTGCAACTCTTCTCGGTTTCCCCTTTAAGCTGTTTTTATGATCAAGTGGACATCCTCCCATGTACTGTAAATACTCATTTCTTTCCATTATCACAAAAGATAGACAATAACATTCCTCATACACTTTTAGAATACAAATACACAAAATACATAACCATCAATCCATATTAGTATGTGTTCATTAGGGTAAGTTCTTGATATTTAACTGCAAAGCAGCAGTCCTTCAAACTCAGCAGCAGCACTATGTAAGTGCAGAAGACAACTTACCTAACTCAGACTGTCTAAGTACCACAGCTGTCTGAAAAGCTAAGACACACCAGAGTCAGTCCACACTTGGGCTCTTCCTACTGAGACACTGACAAGACCCAAACTCAACTTTCACAAAAATTATGACAGATTTCTTGCACAAAGCCAACTGGGGTTAAAAGGTGAAGAAACCAAGAGGGGGAGAAGTCCCAAGGCAGACTCACGCCATGAGGAAAGAGCCTGATTCCAGTCCCTCGAGATGAGTTTGCAAAAGCACCAATGGAAATACTTCACATGGCTTCAACCACCAGGAAAATGAAAAGGGGGAAAGTAATCTCTCAGTAACACAAAGCTTACGAAACAGCTTGGAATTCAACAAAGAAGAGATCAAAATGATTACAGAATTGGGGAAGGGTCCACCAGTCACAGAAAGCTGGTGTGCGTAATGACAGAGATGGGAATACATTTACAGGGCTCTCATATCAAACACGCATGTTGTTACCTAAGATGGAGCTTTTCTAGCCCAGCATCTGCAAGGTCATCATTGGCCCTTTGATGAATGTCCCTCTGTGTTTCTATTTTGTGATCATCAGACAGACCATCAACTTTGTGAATAAAAACCTCAAAATTCATGTCTGGGTTAACTTTGTAGGCTTTAGAAACAGTAATGTGAAGTCGTGTTAAAGCCTCCATGTAGTCATCCTGAAAGTCAGAACAAAATATTTTTAACAAGAAATCTTATAAAACAGAAGTAACAAGTTAAGAAAGCCTCAAACCACCTCTTTCCCCAACCACAGAAAATAGGCTATCCTAATTACTCATAAATATTCAGACGTGCTGACATATAACCAGTAAATAGCTCTTCCATTTCTTAAGCTAGAAAATCAAATACCAAGTCAAGGCCTGAAGTTTTAATGCTGTTACTATAACAGAAGGAAAGGCAAAATGCACATTTTTCCCAATAGAACTGTTAAAGTAATCCCAGCTCTGCCATTTGTCAGGTGTGTGGCTCTAAGTAAACTGCTTAAACCCTGACCTCAAGTCAAGGGTAACTACCCACACTACTCCATAAATCAGATGGTATAAGAGAAGGCACGCACCACGGAGCTGGCAGCGCTCAGAAAGCATTCGTTCCCTACAACGCTAAACTCTGCTTACAAAAGGTAAGCTGAAGGGTGGGGACACAGCCCGCCCATCTGACTCCCTACCATGCAGTGGGCCCTTAGTGTGTGCTGCTAGATTAAGTTCAACTTAAATCAGGAAAAGTAGAATGGACTCATTTCTCATATTCTTCCTGTGGCCACTGATGGGGATACGTCAATGGATGAGGTGACCACTGTAATATCTACTATCTACAGCAACAGCTACTATTAACCAATAAACATACAAAGTCAATGGTAACTGCTCATTAAGTGGGACTCAAGAAATGTAAATGACCTTTTCTAAGCACCTGAGAGTCTGGAATTGTACAATAACAGGTTTGCTCCCAAAAATCTCTCGGTAGCTGACTGTCTTACACTGTCAGGGGATCTACTGGGAAGAGACAAGCTTCAAGCATGTGACAAAGGAAACAAACAAATTTCCTCTGTTCCTACATCTTTTTGCCACCAGAGAAGAAAGCACACACATCATGCCTAACTACCTGCGCATCAATGACATATATCAACGCTCCTGTCCCCCTGAAGATCATTTCGTAGTCAAAGGTTGGGTCAAAGAAGTCCATCTGTCCAGGAAAATCCCAAATCTGGAAGTTCACAAAGGAGCTATTGGAAATGTCATCTTTATAAATCTTGTTTGTACTTTCCAAAAAGAGAGTCTCATTTGGTGACATCTTATGAAACACCACCTGTTAAGAGAAACAGAAACGATTTCACAACTATTTAACTACAGAATTTATATTAAAAATCCCCTATCATTGACAGTAAAATTTTGACCTATAACAACAACAAAAACCAAAGAAATAATAATTGGAGGCTAAATCACTGGTAATGTTCTTCTACTTCTGACAGAAGACGCTGAGTCAGCTCCCCTCACCCACTGTAAAATGAGTTTTCTTTTACTATCTTAACTACGTTACTACTAGTGGTACCATCTCTTGCTTACGCTGTTCCCATGTGTTTGGTTTTCATTCCGGATATTTGTAATTTTTTATTCTGGGAGGGAAGGGGTTTTGTTTTGAAAAGGGGTCTTAGCTATACTGTAGCCCAGACTCAAAATTCAATTCTCTTTGCTTCCTCCAGTACTGAAATCAGTGCCATTTCGTCAGGCTCTACTGTTTTAAACTTGTCAACACCTGCTTTTAGATCATGAAACTATTCTAGATGAAGTTTAAAACTAACTCATTCATCAAATAACACAGTTGCTTACCTCCGCCTCTAACGAACAAGAAAAAAAAAAAAAGATTGGATCCTGCCCTCACTGAGTTCACAATCTGAACAGAATGAGCAGGGTGGTGACAGCGCATGCCTTTAATCCCAACACTTGAGAGGCAGAGGCAGGCAGAGCTCCGGGAGTTTGAGATAGTTCCAGGACAGGCTCCAAAGCTACAGAAAAACCCTGTCTAGAAAAACAAAAGAAAAGAAAAGAAAAGAAAAGAAAAGAAAAGAAAAGAAAAGAAAAGAAAAGAAAAGAAAGGAAAAAGAAAAACCAAACAAACAAAAAACCAATCTGAACAGAATGCAAAATTGTCCAGAGTGAGAAGTGGGGAGGCCTGTGAGAGATGGGGATCCTGTGGTCAGAGCACCAGGTAAAACCTTCACCACGCTCACACCTGTAATCTCTCAGCACTCGGAGGTAGACTCAGGACCAGAAATTCAATCAAGGCCAGCCTGAGATATGTAAAAAAGAAAAGGAAGTTGGAAGGAAGGACAGAGGGAACCAGCAGGGCTGGAGATGTAGTTTTTAAGGCTTGCCTGATACAATCCTAACATTATAGCAAACTTGCCTCTCAGTATTAACTTGGAAGAGAGACAAAAATTCGCAGTACCAGTTTGTTTACCTACAAAGTAAGGCCTGTGTTCAAGCCTGCAAAGTACTGTCCGCACCTTTCTTCCCCCCAAAAGCCCAAATTTTGAGACTGACAAAAGAATTAAGGTAAATAAAATAGTTCAGCAAATGCAGGGAGAGGGGGTAGTTACTTTTATTTTTTTCGAGACAGGGTTTTCTGTGTAACAGCCCTTGCTGTCCTGGAACCAGCGCTGTAGACCAGGCTGGCCTCGAACTCACAGAGATCCACCTGCCTCTGCCTCGAGTGCTGGGACTAAAAGCGTGCGCCACCACCGTCCAGCTAGAGCTAGGGTAGCGACTTAAAAAACAAAAACAAAAAACAAAAAAACAGGGGCTGGAGAGATGGCTCAGAGGTTAAGAGCATTGCCTACTCTTCCAAAGGTCCTGAGTTCAATTCCCAGCAACCACATGGTGGCTCACAACCATCTGTAATGGGGTCTGGTGCCCTCATCTGGCCTGCAGGCATACACACAGACAGAATATTGTATACATAATAAGTAAATAAATAAATATTAAAAAAAAAACACCGCATCTACAAAATACCAGAAAGAGCTGGATAAACCTTGTGTCAGAGTGGAAACGGAAAAAGCCTGGGTGTCAGCGATACCAGTTTTATCAGAAGTTCGCTGTTTGTAATGGGAACGATTGATGAAGTAAAATCAACCCTGCCTCTATTTTCCTGTTCAAGGAAAATAAAACGCCTTAGGCATTCTACTCGATCTTGACAGACCCAAGGTGAAAACGAATGCACTGTGTGTGACCAGCTACAGGGGACTGTCACCTGTAGCTGCGATCACCGGGCGACAAGAACTAAAAGTCGGTGCAGTGATGGGACCCTCCCCCCAAAATAAACGTCACGGAAGTCTTCACCAGACTAATAACAGCAGGTACTTCGCTGCCCAATGTCTTTGCCACAACTCTTTCTGGAGTTGCCGCGGCCCGCAGCTTGGGCGGGGACTCCCTGAAAACTCGGGTCACCTAAGTGAGGAGCTGCAGGGGAGCACGCTCACCAAGTTCTCCACGTGAGAACCGGAGAGGACGCGTCCGTTTCCTCAACGCCACAGGGGCTGCGACCCAGAGGGCGGAGATGTAGGGCGGTGCCCGGCACCTGCCTCCACCCTCCAGTCAGCGTCTCCTCCTTGCCCCGCTCGGCCCTCGGCCCGCGGAGTCGGGCGTTGGAGGCCCAGGTCGGGGACCCCGGGCGGGTGGCGCCCAAGCTCCGCGCTCGCAGGCGTGGACCGTGCGCCGGGACGCAGGGCCAGGCCGCCACCCTCTTCGGGCCTCCCGGGCGGCCGCCACCTGAGCGCTACGGGCGGAGCGAGACCGAGGGCGGGAGGCCCGGCGCGGGGCGCTCACCTTCTGGATGGAGGACTTGCCGCTGCGCCGCAGCCCCATGAGTAGGATCCTGGGCTTGGAGCTGTCAGCGCCGCCCGGGCCGCAGCCACCGCTGGCCCCCGCGCCACCGCCGCCGCCCGCCGCTGCCTCCTCTTCCTCCTCTTCCACGCCGTAGCCGAAGTCCTTGGGGAACGAGTCGGCTGCTCCGTAACTGCCGGCCAGGGGCGTCTCCTCCGCCCCGTACTGCAGGGACATGGTGCTGGACCGCCGCCGCCCGCGCCCTGACAGGCCAGGCCAGGCCAGGCCGCCGCCTCCCCCTGCTGCCGCTGGTGCCGCCGCCCCCGGCAGCCGCTGCCGCCGCTGGGCCCGCCCCCAAACCGGATGATTGGACTGCTGCCGAGAACCGGCTCCTTATTGGCTGGGTGGGTTGCCACTCCGGAGCAGCAGGGTAGGTGGTGTGCATCACGTGCCTGGAATCACCTGACTTGCAGCGGCTGCTGCGGGGAGGGGGAAGGAGGAGTCACGAGGAGAGCGGCCGGCCGCGCCTCTTGTCGGGCTCCGGGCCTTCGCCCTGGGTGCATCCCTCTACCGCCTCGGTCTGCCCGGTGCGCACCGCGCTGCTCGCCGCTCCCCGCCTCCTTTCGGGCTCCGAGAGCACCTCAGGGAAGATGCTTCTGGGCGTCTGGGTAAGAGTTCATTGCCCCCCCCCTCCTCCGCTGTAGCTGCCCAGCCAGTATTTATAGGATGCCTGCCAGGTCCTGGGTACCACCCGGAATGCACTCGAAACTGAAACCGCATTGCCCCTGCCTGCCCTCGAGTTGCTTGAAGGTTAACAGAGATTGGACATCTGTGTAACTAGACTCAGTACAGATTTTATATGTGAGAAGGCCATGAGCACAGATGAACCGCTCCAGAATTGGGCGAGGAAGTCCACAGGAGGTCGTGAGCCGGTCCTAACCGATGATGCGGTGGGGATGTGCGAAAAAGTGTATAAAGTAGGAGCCAGTCAGAAGGCAGAGACAGTTATAAGTTCCGGTGATAACTTGCCCTAGCTGGTAGCTGGAGCGGATAAGGAAAACAAATACAAGCGTGCTAAAACACCGTATCTGCAAGGAAATCGCGGATAAGTTCCTGCTGTCTTTATGGTCAACAGACTCCAGCTTCCCATTCCCAACTAGGCAGTGCTCCTCCACTATCCCATCCAGCAACTGAGTACTGACTCATCTTTGACTTCCCTGTGATTAGAGACCAGAGGAATTAGGAACAATGATGGCAAATGCTTGCTGTCAACATGTGCTTCAGAAAGCCGTATGAGCGTTTTCATGTTTTGAACTCCAGAAATGGAATTTGACAGGCCTTAAAGTACAGCCCTGCGGAGTTGGGGTAGGGGTCTCGGTTTTACAAGGTGGCTGTGTTGTTTGCAGGGCCAGGGATAGAATTCTGGGCCTTTTGTGTATGCTAGACAAATTCTACCATATAGCCTTATACCCTACTCAGAGACAGACTTGATAGTGAAGAAAAAGGTAAGCTCGTGTACGCCTGGCACATTGGTTATGCCCGATCCTAGTAAGTTAAAAGGCAGTATCTAATAAGCAGGCAGAATGAACGTAAATGTACTTAAATCTGCCGGGCGGTGGTGGTGCACGCCTTTAATCCCAGTACTCTGAAGGCAGAGGCAGGTGGATCTGAGTTGAAGCCAGCCTGTGCTACAGAGTTCCAGAACAAGCTCCAAAACTTCACAGAGAAACTGTCTCGAAAAACCAAACGGAAAAATGTGCACGTCCCTCACTGTCCATGGAAGACTGCTTACAGGACAATCCAAACCCATGAACAGACTGGAAGACAGTCAAGTTCCTTGTATAGACTATTTGCATGTGAACCTATGCACACAACTCCTGTACTTTATGTCAGCTCTGCATTAGTTATAATACCCAATAAATACAACGACTGGTGTCTTAGCCAGGTAAGATGGCAATGGCACACACCTGTAAATCCTAACACTTTAGAGGCAGATACAGAATCCCTCAATTAGTTCAAAGTCAGCCTGCTCTACACATGGAGTTCCTGGACAGCCTGAGCTAAACACTTTTTTAGGAGTCATGGGGGAAAATGTAACCTTGGTATGCCATATTGCATAGGTAAAGGCAAGAATAAAGTCTACCTATGCTCAGTACAATCCCCCCCCAAAAAAAATTTCCAATTCAGTTGGCTGAGTCCATGGATTCAGAGAACCAACTGTTTGCCAGGGGAAATCAAATTTAAGGGTAGCTGTGGTATAAATTTTAGCAGTTTTGGGTGAGGTAGAGGTCAGAGGACATCTTCAGATAGTTTCTTACCTTTCACCTTGAGTTTGGGACAGTTTCTTCTTTGTTGTTTAGAGCATTACATTTGCAAAGCTAGCTAGCCTGCAAATTTCTGGGTTGACTCCTGTCTACCTCCCAGCTCACAATGGGAGCCCTGGGATTATAGAAATTACACTAGTCTGCTCAATTTTACGTGAGTTCTGGGGATTCAGACTCAAGTCCTCACATTTATGTGACAAGTGCTTTAACCCACTGAACCATCTCCAAAGCTCTGCCAGCTCAAAATTTTATTCTGGACTGGAGAGATGGCTCAGTGATTAAAAGCAGTTGGTGCTCTGGCGGAGGACCCACATTCAGTCTCAGCTTCCGTGTAATGGCTCACAACCATCTGTAACTCCATGTCAGGGATCCAGTGCTCTCTTCTGACCTCCAGGGATACCAGGTACACACAGGGTACACATACATACAAGCAGGCAAAACACTCATACACATAAAATAAACATACATCTTTATCAAGTTTCTTATTTAAGGGGCTGGAGATGTAGTTGTTGGAATGCTGGCCTAGCTTTATGAAATCCTAGATTCTGTCCTCAGCACTGCATACCCCAGGCCTGGTAGCACATGCTTGTCTGTAATCACAGTACCAAGGAAGCACAAGAGGACCAGAAAGAAGTTCAAGGTTATTCTCTGCTATAATATCAGTCAGTCTCAAAAAAGGCTTCGAGCCAAGTCATACTCCTCAGTGCCTGAGTGGAACAAAATAGTCACTTCTTCAAAACAGCCCTTCTGCTATCCCAGGGCAGCCTTCATTACACACCCAGTCTTCTCAGCCTCACAGAAGAGCTCCAGGCGCTCCTAGTCTTCTCTGTTCCCTGCTATCCACAGTTGCTCTGTCGTTGCTTCTACAGTACGGTTCAAGACAACTTTTGAGTAGAACCATTTTGCCTGTACTGTTCAAGATAGCCACGTGAATGAATGCCAGAAACGCTGCTGGTGTGATTGAGGAACTGAGCTTTTGTTTTTGAGTGAACTGCCCTGTGTAACTGGTGGTAACCACACTGAACCACTCAGCCATGCTTTCACATCCCTTCTCCCTGTTGATCATTCTTCCTTAAAATGCATCCATGCTCGTCAGCGTCCCTCAGCTACCTGGTGCCTGCACAGTAACCAGCAGGGCTTCCAAGCAGACTTCTTTAGCACCTGGACAACATTTGTTCTCCAGATGTTTGTTTCCTTGGACTGTAAATGGTTCACATTAGTGATCACTATGACTAGAATTTTGCCAGAAACTCTACTCTGTAAGCTTGTGTAACTACATTTTGTAACTGCTATATGACTTGATATTTGTAACTTTTTTTGTTTGTGCCCAGCAGTTTAGGTACTCCAGATTATCAGGTTAAAACCTGTTCCAAAGTAGTCAACCAGCCAGCCTTTCCAATTCCATGGTATTACAGATGTGGCACTACTACAGCTGCCCTGTAGGTAGCCCTGCAGTCTGCAAGGCGCTTTTATACTCACTGTATTTAATCTGATCCTGACAGTAACTTTGTAGGTGGGTAAGATGCGAAAGTACACATACATACCCTGGGGGGGATTGAGACAGGGTCTTATGTAGACAAGGCTACATACACACTTAACTTACTGTGTAGTCAGAGATGAGCAAGTCCTCAGCCTCTCCCCTCCAGGTGCTAGGATTACAGGCATGGGCCATCCACCCGCCTGTTCACAACTGTTTTATATGTATTGTGAGCACATGTGGAAGGACAACTCTTGGAAGCTGATTTTTCTGCCACCTTGTGGGATCCAGGGATTAAGCTGAGTTCTTCGGGCCTATGCCCACACACCTCTACTTACTTAGCCCATGTCTGTAGCCCATAATTTTTATCTTCTAGATGAAGCAGCAGAAGTATAGCAGGAACTGAAGAGATGACTTACATTTCCTATTCCATTTAGCATCATCTTGTATACAGTCTTCATTCAAGTCACTGATAGAAATGATGGAAAAGGGGTTCGTGCACTGCTTTTGGAGAGGACCCAAATTTGGTTCCCAGCACCCATGTCAGGTGGCTCACCATGCCCAGTGACCCTGAAATCTTTTTTTTCTTTTTTAGGATTTATTTGTGGAGGGTTTTTTTGGAGGGATGTTTGTTAAATCTGAGTACTCTATATGTACTCCACATTGTGAGCCACCATATGGTTGCTGGGAATTGAACTCAGGACCTCTGGAAGAGCAAGCAGCCAGTGCTCTTAACCAGAGCCACTGCTCCAGCCCCAGACCTTGAATTCTTAACTATCAATGGCTGGCCCAGGTTAGTTGCACCTACAAGTGGTAATCTAACTCACATACTGCAACTAATGTGCAAAAAGGTGATTCAAGAGGCAGTCACAGAACAACTGAGTAATAGAACATTAGACCAGGCATGGTGGCACACACCTTTAATCCTAGCACTGGGAAGCAGAGGCAGGAGGATCTTGAGTTCAAGGCTACCATCTGCTACACAGTAAGTTCCAGGCCAGTTACTGCTACATACAGTTAGCCCTGTCTTAGAAAGAATAAATAAATAAATACATACATACATACATACATACATACATACATACATACATAACAATAGTGCCGTGAGAGAAAAAAACTGCCAGAAAACAAAATTAGTTGTCTGTTTCAACAAAATGGCTGCCATACAAACTGCCTAAAGAAGCTAAGTCACGGCCGGGCGATGGTGACGCACACCTTTAATTCCAGCACTCGGGAGGCAGAGGCAGGCGGATCTCTGTGAGTTCGAGACCAGCCTGGTCTACAGAGCTAGTTCCAGGACAGGCTCCAAAGCCACAGAAAAACCCTGTCTCGGGGAAAAAAAAAAAAAAAGAAGCTAAGTCACCTCTCTTCCAAATCTTCATGAGCCTGTCTAGCTATTCCACAGTTCCCAGCCTTGTAGTTGTAGTTGCTTACGTACATGTCTAATAAGTGAATCCTTACCAAACCAGCACTTAGCCCAGTGCTGTCTATCTAGGAGGCACTTTAGTAAAGAGAATCTGTCCAGCTGAATGTTCTTCCAGTGGTAGCTGGCCACCCTCCAGAAACAAACTTGTGACTGGCAGAAACACAGACCATTGCCACAATCCTGCCATGACTGATTACAATGCCCTTGTAAATGGCTTGGTAAGAGTTTCCAGCAAGTGCCAGTGCCTCAGCTGGTTAAACCAGCTTTGATTGGATGTGTGCTGTTTAAGGACAAGCTCCCTAACAATAAGGACAAAAGACATGAACTAGAAGGATTTCACTGTGAGGGAGGAATGGAAGTAACCAACAACACATCTGACTGATTAGGGCCAGATGGAGTGGTGAAGGCCTATAATCCCAGAAGCTGGGGGCAAGAAGATCAGAACTTCAAGGCCAGCCTGGGGGTACATGAGACTGTCCCCTACCCAAAAAGAAAGAAGAGGACTAACAAAACGTGGTACTTTACCATTTACAGATCTTTCATGTACATGATCTCATTTGACCTCACAACAACCCTGTGAGGTAGGCAGCACATGTGGTCATGGTACAGACAAGGAAAGTGAATCTCCAAGCCATTAACTGACCTGCCCAGGGGCCGACAGTAACAAATTCATATAAATGTCAGTCTTTGGCCTAAAAATTCAGCACCCAACGTCCCCTCATACTTGCCCTACCTCCTTCACAGGGATAATAAAGATAAAATTAATTCAAGGCTCAAAAAAATACCTTTAAGGGGGAAAAAGCACTATATAATTACATATTATAATCATCTGTGACATAATGGTTCATCCCCCTTCCCATCCCAGCTTGTGCATGAACCCAGAATTTTATATTATCTCTCTTCTGTGTTCAACTAAGGAACTAAGTAAGGCAGGGTAAGAGTGTAGTCCTACTGGAAGCTATGTAAATTACAATCAAGGTAACTGCAGCATTGGGCAAACTGAAAACAACACAGACTAATGTGCAACCAGGACGCACGAAAGCACACAGCACAGCAAGGCAGCATTATCAGATGGGCGGGATTGCATAGAAAGAAAACGTGGTGTCAGAGTTCACACTGGCACACACACAGTTATCTAAGGCAAAGTGGTGGCAAAGAGTTCTTTGTTCCATATTATATAAGGGAGCAGAAGACGCATGGGAACCCATGCAGAAGCATCCTACATCACACATCTGTCCAGCTGTCTACTTGGAATACACTGTCAAGAATGAGTGTGCCTACTATGCTCAAGTCCTCAACCAAGGAATAGCTCCATGCTAAATCTCCTAGCTAAAATACAACCAGTACCGTCATTCCTAACTGGATAATAAATAAAATGTCTTTGAAGGTGAAAAGTTACATGGCTCTTTAGCTTTTCTTCGAGATCTACTTTGGATTCTCCTCCTTTAAGACCCAAAGAAAGTTATATTGAGTTTTTATTGGTGATTCTATGTATATGTGTTTATAACATTAAAGTGTGGTGAGTGGATTTTACATATTAAAAGTTTATAGCATCTTTTCAGGAAAGATTATATACTATACAAGCTATTCAAGTGATACAAAACCAGTTTTCAGTGTCTTTTCAACTGAGAAGAATCCTATTCAGCACGCTTCTCCTCCTGAGGTGGCTCATACTGAGCAAGCTATGGGGCAAAGACAGAGGATTTAGATGAATTTTATTTAAATTGGGTAAAAAACTTAGTAACACAATGAAATTAGATATTATATTCAACTTAGTTATTGAGTCAGTAATCAATTTCTGAACTTATCCTTCTTAAAACATTTGCTTACTTAAGATTGAGCACAATTAAACCTAACAAAATCCCTTTTCATATAAACCTTTAGCATTGCTGGGGAACTAAACTTTAATTTCAATTTATGACTCAACTGTTCAGATACTAGGTACATAACAGTCTAGCTTTCCAAAACTGCTGTGCTGTGTAATATGGAGCTGTCTTGTCTTAAAAAAACAAAGAGTCACATGACTTCTACTAGCACAGTCAATGAAAAGTAACTAATGCCTGACTTTAAAGAGTCCCAGAAGGGCCCTGGCATGGCGCATGCCTTTAATCCGAGCACTGATAAGGCAGAGGCAGGCAAATCTGAGTTCAAAGCTAGCCTAACCTACACAAAGACACCAAGTGTATCTCAGCATCTTTGATAATCTAAGACATTTTCTTTTAAAAAAGCTTATGGCTCTTTACAAGAACATTAGCCTTCATAAGATTTGGCTTTTTAAATTAGCTGTCAGACGTGGAAAGTGCATTGTGTAGTTCAGACTGTGGTAAGCCTCAAAGACTGCGTTGACGTTCAAGTTTATGGGAGTTTGAACAAAGGGAAAACTTCAGCTATAGAGGGCAGTTTACTTCTGTCCTTATACCTGGAGCTAGCATGCTTGAGACAGTGCAGACTGTGCACTGTCCCATTCTAGATGCCCTTAAAGCAGTGGCCTAGAACCTGAACTGCCTAAGAACCTTAAAATTATCCATTTACTTTAAGCAGTATTAACAAGTATTCCAGCCTTTTTATTGATGCAGGTTCTCGATTCCCTCTTCTTGATCACACTTTGCTTACCCTATTTATTGTTGGTCTTGGGATTTTTCTAGATGAGGCTTAAGTTTGCCATGTATCTGATTCAAACTATACTCAACTGTCCTTCCCTGCTGTCCATTTAGTGAAGTGTTGGGTTAAGTTGTTTACTCTGGTTTTATCAGGCTGCAAATGGAACCCAGGACCTTAGCACATGCCAGACAGATGCTCTACCACTGACCTACATCCCTGGCCTATAGTAAGGATTTGGTCAGATAATCATCAGAGACAAGATTGGTTTTTAATTTGAATTTCTTTCTTAAATTTACCTTTGCTTTCAGTTTTTTATTTTCTTCTACAGTAGCTTCATATTTCTCTTTCATTTCTGCCAATTCTAGGCGAAGCAGCTCTATTTCTGGGCTTTCCGGGGTAGCAGCTCCTAAGTGATGCTTTAAAAAACTAACATCAGTGTTAAGAATGTACTCACAGAGAATGAGGCTGGGGACAGTCACCCACCACACACCACTAGTTAGCCAAGGTCATGTCAAGATTCAAAAGAACTTTTCAATAAACCAAAGTATTTAAAGCTTATATATTTGAATAAATTAAAATGTCAAAAATATGGCCTTTTTGACTTCAGAGATGAAAAGGATACTCCAGAGCACTGGTGGGCTTCTCTGGCTCTTCATATAAGGCTACCAACACTGCAAACCAAAGAGAAAGAAAAGAATGAGGTGTTCAGTGTAGATGGCTGAATATTCAGAAACTCAGTAAATACTATCTGCCTGCTAGAGGGCAAGCAGACTACTAAGATTGTCCATACAGTGGTGAATACTCAGACAGTGTTCTTGCTTGCAACAAATTTACAGTCCATTGCAAAAGATAAGGAACACAGAGAGTATTGAACTGCAATAGTAGTTACTGAGTTTCGCAGTGAGACTGGAGAATTGCTTAGCATCAGAGGCAGACCTGAGACCTAGCTGTGTTTCAGATAAAAAACGGGAACACTCAGAGCACATACTAGGGAATTAACGTGTCAAGTATGTTGTGAGTAGTAAACAGAAAGGTAGCTAGGGTCAGACCATGGAAAAATGATCCTAGGAGCTACAAATATATTTCACCAGTCTTAAAGCAGGGGGTGGCAAGATCACTTCTGAAGGCTGTAAGACTGACTGAAGTGGGACATGGAAAACGGCAGAAAATTCAGAAAGCTGGGTGTGGTGGCCCACGCCTGTGATCTCAGGACCTAGGAGGTGAGGCAGGGGGGATAAGGAGTTTGAGGTCATTCATTTGTGGAAAAGCAGTGAACTACAGACCTGAGCTACAAGGAACCCTGTCTTTAAAAAGTCTATGTAATCCAACTAAAGAAATTTAAGTTTTATGTAATTAGCTGCAGTATTCCATTCCGAATATTCAAGAATTAAGTTTATGTATGATAGGCTAGGCACCAACCAAAACGTTCCCAGTAATCAACATGCTCAGATTGGCATTTAAAAATATACTAGTGCCTCACATGAACACTGTGTCACTCATCTACCAAACAAGTACTCTTGCAACTCAGTATTCACATGGCAAGTTCTCCAGACTAGTGCTGAGGACCCTTTAAAAACATCTCCTGAGCTTGTAGACACCTGAATCTATATGTAGAGACAGATAACCCACCGGGCGGCAGTGGTGCACACCTTTAATCCCAGCACTCGGGAGGCAGAGATGGGTGGATCTCTGTGAGTTTGAGGCCAGCTTGGTCTACAGAACAACTTCCAGGACAGCCTCCAATGCTACAGAGAAACCCTGTCTCAAAAAACAAACATGACAGGTAACCCAAGCTGGCCTAGAATTTACTATGTAGCCCAGGCTGGTCTCAAACTTGTGGCAGTCTCCTGCCTCAGTTCTCCCATACAGGTGTGTGTCAGTCACCACACCCAACTTTGAAAATCTAACAAAAGCAAAAAGTATAACTGTTCAGTGTGTATAACTTTAAAATTCCAAATTAAGAAGTCCTGTTCTGCGGGACACACACCTTTAATCCCAGCACTCCGGAGGCAGAGACAGGTGCATCTCTGTGAGCTTGAAATTAGCCTGGTCTACAAGAGCTAGTTTCAGGGCAGGCTCCAAAGCTCCAGAGAAACCCTGTCTCGAAAAACAAAGCAAAAAAGTTCTGTTCTAAACCAATTTACATGTCCTCTTTTGGTTTTTAAGAGTTTTAATAAATTGAATACAGTATGAAAAACAGAGAATGAAGAGGTACTTTTAACTTACACCAAAATACACAAAAATTTTTTGAGCAATCGCATTTATATCACCACTATCTTCCAATCATCTAATACTCAAATCCCTACTTTTTTAAAAATTATATATTCAAAAGTGTTTCTTCCATTTACTGCCACTGATCTGTACTGAATCGTAACCTGTATTTACTGGTTTTGAAAGACTGCATCTCTCCATGTAGCCCTGGTTGTCCTGGAACTATGTAAAATAGGATGGCCTTAGCTTGAAGAGACTGCCTGTCTCTGTGAGCGCTGCACCCAAGTGTACCCTGTCAGCCAGAATTTACACTTTGTAGGTGTGACTATCAAGGCTCTCACCTTCTCCTTCCAAATTTCTGTCAGCAGTTTGTGCAAGACTGCTGCTACAAAGTGTTACGTTTCTTGTGCTTTTCGATGGGATGACTGTACTTTTTATCTGAAGAGAATTTGACCAAATTACATTCCCTTTGCTTTAGCAGCTAGATTTATTTTTATTAGTTACATGAGGGAGGGGAAGATCGGGCAGGTCAGAGGACACATTCTACACTCGCCTCCTAAGATATGAGTTCCAGGAATTAAACTCAGGTCCCTCTGGCTTAGCAGCTAGCACCTTCACCTGCTCCGCCTTCTTGCCGGTCCCAGCAGCCAGATTATTTTAAGCCAGGTATTTTACAGGTTGATCCCCTGCTCAGAATAACAAAATGCTGCTCCAGATGATCTGTCACCCATCTTCTTTACGGATGTTTTTCACTCAATGCTTCTTTTGGTAGTCAGTTGATGGGCTGGTTTGGTTTTTTGTTTATAAGATGTAGTCTCACTCTGTAGCCAAGGTTGGTCTCAGACCCAAGCACTCGTCCTACATCAGTCTATCAAGTACAATTAGAAATAAGACAAGACACCATGGTCTTCTGCATGTGCCTTAGACCTTTAAGGCACTGAACCTGGAGCTTGCATTTTGCTAAACTAGCAGCCAACAAGCCTTGGAGATCATCCTGTGTCTGCCTCCACCCCCACCACCACCCCTCCCAGCACTGAGATTACACAGAGGCCCTGCCTGACTAACTACACAAGTGCTTGTATGGGAACTCTGATATTTATGGTTGTACATCAGGTCGTCTGAACCTCTGAGCTATCTCTCCTTCCTAGCTCTAGTTTGCTTTTTTGAAACGGGTCTTTTTATGTACCCCAGACAAGCAGTAAATGCAAGATCCACCTTCCCTCACTACTAGAGCACTAAAAAACGTGCTGCCATGCCTGGCTTCTTACAGTGTTTTGACCTTAAAAACCATTTTAAATCCTCTCTGAAATGTTTGCTGGATAGGAAAAAATGTAAATTCGTATAAATCATGTTTGACCCTTTAAAATTAAGTTTTAAATCATGTTAATAGATAGTATCTATGTTGTCTGATGTTATTTAGGAAAGTAGTGTTTAAAAAGCATGAGGAAGGGAGTGCAAAGGTTTCCAGTCTCTTTCACGGCCTGAAAGCTGCACATCTTCTCTGTATTCAGTTACCTCCAACTCCTCCACCTGCCTTGTACTGTCTCTGTCCACTTGCTGCATCCAACCCCACCCTACCCCGAACACAGAATACCTGGGACCAAAAGCATTTCAGTGTTTATCTCGAGTTTGGAATATCTACACATACATAATGAGATATCTTGGGGATGAGATCCAAGCCTAAACATGAAATTTATTTACGTTCCATATGGACCTAATACACATAATGTGAGCATGGCCTTGTACAAGCAAATATTTCTCGGCTCCCGTATTTTGACTGACATAACTTATGCAGTCAGGTATGGGAGTTTCCACATCAAATTACAGGCTTTGGAGCAATTTAGATTTCAAATTTTCAGATTAAGGCTACTTATCTGTACTTTAGCTTCTGTTCAAAGGTCTTTCCTCTTCCACTCAATGTGAAGTGTCACATCTTTATCACCCAGCCTTGCTATGGTTTGAGTTATACATTTACCACTCGCTGGCACTGTGTTTTGGTATGTGCATCCCTATGTTACAAGCTCCTGACAGTGGGGACATTTCCATGGCTATAACCCTTGGTGCCCAGAACACAAGGCTGGGATAAGATCATTCCATGGAAGAAATAGATACGAGGGGCTTTTTACCAGAATTCCAAGCATCTGAGACACTTCCGAGGCCACAGAGTAGGTTTCCCAGAGTAGTTCTTACATTTTGCTCACACTGACTTGCAAAGACAGAGGAAATTAAATCTGAGTCGAGAATAGGTAGTAATTCAAACCTGTCCGCTCATCCGAGTGAAGGAATTAGAAGCTAAATTCTCCCAGAATATCCCCTAGCCAGCCTTTGTTTCCCTAAAAAGCAGATGCAAATAATTTCCCAGACACTTCCCATTCTCAAAAGGACCAAGGTTTCAGTCCCTGCCAAGAATTCCATTCTACTCCCTTGAAAACACCGGGCAACGTTGTGTTGAGTAACATGTAGCAGGTATTCAATATACAGTCAGGCTAGTTTAGCTGTATTCTTTCTGAGGACCCTCTGGTTTCAGCCACCACACTCTAACCTTACACCCAAAAAGGAAGGGATGCAGGTTCACTTTCACAGTGAGCGTCCATTTTTTAAGGTGAATAATATAGTCATTTTTATGTGCTCTGAAGCGCTTCAAAATCTAATTCTACTTTAATTATAAAATCTATACAGTGTAGGAATACTACAGTTTGAAAGAGTGGAAAGGCCACGGCCCAATTGTCTATGAATCCCCAGCTTTGAGGACTAATAGTAACCCTCCTTCAAATCCAGTCATTTTCTTAGGTGCCTTTCGTCCAAAGGAAAATGTATAAGGTCCCGCACACTACAAGGCGGGAGCAATTGGGATCTCAAGGTCTCTTGCTAACGTGTCCGCTGCGGCTGCTCGAGAGAAAGCAACGGAAGTTGGAGAGACTTTGCAACAGCTGCAAGAGTTTCAGTCCCGGGCTGAGAGCGACGTCCCGCCGCCGGCGTGCGCCCGACCCGCGGGACCCGAAGGCCTCGCCGGTCCCCAGGAGGGCCCCACCTGGCCGGGAGCGCGCGGGTGCTGGCAGCCGCCGCCCGCCCCGGCTCACCTTTCGTCAGCGTGTCCAGCACCCCCGACTTCTCCAAGTACCTCCGGAACTGCTCGCGCTTCGAGTCGGCGGCCTGAGGAGACACGGCGGGTCAGGGACCGGAGCCCGGGGCCGGAGCAGGAAGACGGCGCGCCCCGCCGCCGCCCCCAAGCCCTGCACGCGCCCCAACTCCCACCCGGCGCCGCCCGCACGCCCCGAGCCACGCCGCGCCCCCCTCACTTTGTAATGGGCCATAGTGACAGCCACAGCGGCGTAGCTGGCGCCGGAGACACGGGCTGGCGGGCTCCAAGCCGCACTGCTCATGCGCGGGACGGCATGTGCGTCTGCGCACTGGGCAGGCACGGGCCGGGATGGCCGGGGTGTGGCCTGTTTTCATGGTGACCGGGACGCTGTGTATCCCTGTCTCCGCGGAGCCCAGGGAGACTGCGTGCGCCCGCCCTACGCGGTTCCTGGCAGCACTGCATCTTCCTCTTCCGGTCGCCGTGGAGATTCGGTTGCCTAGCAAGAGGCGAGGTTTCGGTGAATCCTGGCGAGCCGGGCCTGTGTGGTGTGGCCTGGAGTCGGCGGCTCTTGGCCGAACTCCTCCCCCACGTGGTAATGGGCACACTCCTTGTCTGTTAGGGTCTTTGGAAATGGTGGGGACCGGCCAACGCCCGTTTCTTGACTCTCAGAAAAAAACCAACCAACATGGGGGTGGTGAAAGCGAGAGGACCAGGAAAAAGTTCAAGGTCACCCTCAGCTACGCAAAGAGTTTAAATCTAGGTTGGGCGCCACATTCAGGGCCCACGTGTAAGCACTAGGCCCAGTGAGGTTTGCAGATACAGCTAGCTGGGAGAAAGCTATGTGGGCTGCGGGCTGACCTCTATCTATAGCAATGTTGGTTTAGAACAATGACCTCTAAAAGTCGTGGTCCTACCTTTATTATTAGTTACCCCCAGTATTTAACGTTAACTTCTTTTCCATACATAATATGCGTGTTTTTTTATTATCTGAGCCAATATGTTGAAAATAATTACAGGTAGTATTAAGTATGTATATCTCTTTAGTTTCTTTTCCTTCATCCAAAATGCTTGTCCCACTTTATCCTGTGATTCTTTCCGGAAATGCAGAAGATGAATTTAAACGTAGGTCTTCTGCTGTTTTTCTACTGAGAACATTCCTAGGCGCAGATGTTATTGGCTAGATTTTATTTTGACTCCTTTGCGTAGAATTCATTCTATTAGCTGGGCGGTGATGGCACATGCATTTAATTCCACCACTAGGGAGGCGGAGGCAGACTAATTTGAGTTCTAGCCCAGCCTGGTCCAGGACAGCCAGAACTACACAAATAAACCTTGTCTCAAAAACCAACAAACAAAAAATTTATTTAAAAAAGAATAGATTTAAATCTATTCATGTTTCAATGCCCCACTATCTAGATTTCAAAGAAAAATCTAGATGGAATTTTTTTAATTACTTTTGGGGGATGGGATGGAGAAGGGAATTCCTGCCGTGGCAGAGCTGGAGGTCTGAAGACTGCAGGAGTCTTAAGCTCTCACCTGTAATGAACTCCTCATGCTTGGACAGAAAGCACCCTCCCCCACTGAGCTATCTCCCCAAGGCTCCCCTCGTCTCTTATACTTAATGATAAAGTTAGTGTACTGAAAGGAGACTAGATGCAAGATGGATGCTGTATTAAATTATTTGAGATGTATGTAATAAAGCAGCTTGACCTGAAAGGAGAAGAAAGGAAGTGTAGACAGATCAGGGCTTGCTTGGGGCCCATTAAAGGGAAGTGTGTCCCTCTGGTCAAAAGAATGAATTCTGACTTTGACCACTGACCCTAACTGGAGACGTGATAATTTAATCTTTGAGAAATTGAAATAGTAAATATTATCGTCTCTTGCTTTAAGGGTTAGTCCAACCTGTCTATCACTTGAGCAAGAGACCACTCCTCAGGAAAGCCAGTATGCCTGAAGACATGCTAAGGAGATGAGAGGAATAATTATTCCCTTAATGAGATAATATGCTTGATCATCCCAGGAGCCCCTCTCTTGAGACAGTTGTTGACAGATCTTCACAGCTAAACCTGCCACCTGAGTCTTAAAATTTTAACTTTTCCCTTTCTCCCCTGTTTTTTAATTGATATTTATTGAGCTCTACATTTTTCTCTGCTCCCCTCCCCTCTTCAACCCTCTCCCAAGGTCCCCATGCTCCCAATTTACTTAGGAGATCTTGTCTTTTTCTACTTTCTACTTTTCATGTAGATTAGATCTATGTAAGTCTCTCTTAGGGTCCTCATTGTTGTCTAAATTCTCTGGGATTGTGGTTTGTAGGCTGGCTTTCATTCCTTTGTGTTTAAAAACCACCTATGAGTGAGTACATGTGATAATTGTCTTTCTGTGTCTAGGTTACCTCACTCAAAATAATGTTTTCTAGCTCCATCCATTTTTCTGCAAATTTCAAGATGTCGTTATTTTTTTCTGCTGTGTAGTACTCCATCGTGTAAATGTACCACATTTTCCTTATTCATTCTTCAGTCGAAGGGCATTTAGGTTGTTTCCAGGTACTGGCTATGACAAACAATGCTGCTATGAACATAGTTGAGCACATGACCTTGTGGCACAATTGAGCATCCTTTGGATATATACCCAAAAGTGGTATTACTGGGTCTTGAGGAAGGTTGTTTCCTAATTTTCTGAGAAATCGCCATACTTACTTCCCAAGGGGTTGTACCAGCTTGCATTTCCACCAGCAATGCAGAAGTGTTCCCTTTTCCCCACAACCTCTCCAGCATCAGTGTTTTTGATCTTGGCCATTATGACATGTGTAAGACGGAATCTCAAGAGTTGTTTTGATTTGCATTTCTCTGATGACTAAGGATGTTGAACATTTCCTTAAGTGTCTTTCAACCATTTTAGATTCCTCTGTTGAGAGGTCTCTGTTTAGGTCTGTACTCCATTCTTTTTAATTGGATTATGTGTTCTTTTGGTGTCCAATTTCTTGAGTTCTTTGTATATTTTGGAGATCAGACCTCTGTCTGATGTGGGGTTAGTGAAGAACTTTTCCCATTCTGTAGGCTGTCGTTTTGTCTTGTTGACCGTGTCCTTTGCTTTACAGAAGCTTTTCAGTTTCAGGAGGTCCCATTTATTAATTGTTTCTCTCAGTGTGTCTGTGCTGCTGGGGTAGTATTTAGGAAGTGGTTCCCTGTGACCATGCATTCAAGTGTATTTCCCACTTTCTCTTCTATAAGGTTCAGTGTGGCTGGCTTTATGTTGAGGTCTTTGATCCTTTTGGACTTGAGTTTTGTGCATGGTGATAGATATGGGTCTATTTTCATTTTCCTACATGTTGATATCAAGTTATGCCAGCACCACTTGTTAAATATGCTTTCTTTTTTCCATTTGATATTTTTTGCTTCTTTATCAAAGATCAGGTGTTCGAAGATGTGTGGATTGATATCCAGTTCTTCTATTCAGTTCCATTGGTCCTCTTATCTGTTTTTGTGCCAGTACCACGCTGTTTTCAGTACTGTAGCTCTGTAGTAGAGTTTGAAGTCAGGGATTGTGATGCCTCCAGAAGTTCTTTTATTGCCTAGGATTGTTTTGGCTATCCTGGTTTTTTTTTTTTTTTTTTTTTTTTTCCAAATGGAGTACCGTTCTTTCAAGGTCTTTGAAGAATTTTGCTGGGATTTTGCTGGGCATTGCGTTGAATCTTTAGATTGCTTTTGGTAAGATTGCCATTTTTACTATATTAATTCTGCCTACCCAAGAGCCTGGGAGGTCTTTCCATTTTCTGGTGTCTTCTTCAGTTTTTTTCTTCAAAGATTTAAAGTTCTTGTCACACAAGTCTTCCACTTGTTTGGTTAGAGTTACTCCAAGATATTTTATGCTATTTGTGGCTATTGTGAAGGGTGTTGATTCTCTTATTTCTTCCCCAGCCCTTTTATCATCTGTGTACAGGAGGGCTACTGATTTTTTTAAAGACGAGACATGATGTACAAATATTCTAACCAAGCAGAACACACATCTTGATTTACAGTTTGTGCCTAAAATGCCAGTCTACATAGTAGGTCCATTGCTTGTAATAGCTAAGTGGGCCTCTTCCTCAGCCGTGCATAGCAGTTTTCCTTTGCACACCTCCTGCAGGAAGAGGGCAACAGTTATTAGCTCACATCTCTGTGGAAGCTCATTGCGGTTACAAACAAATGTACGACTTCCAGATTTGCTCAAATTTTGTTGACAAAACTGCCAATCCTGAACGCTTGAACCTAAGCACGGTGCTTTCTAACCATCTTGAAGCTATACTGCCGTTCTGCCAGCAGATGGCGCATCATCGGTATGGGGCGGGGCACAACATGAAAACAGTTTTTTAAACCTGCTCTGAAAATATATAATGCAGTTAAAGGGAGCGGAAAATGATGTAATTATAATCTCAAAAATTAAAAAATATGTATTTTAAAACCTGCAATTAGTGTTAAGAATAAAATACAACCATTATTTGTAACAAGTCATTTCAAACAAACCAAATAAAAAAAAGTCACATGGAAAATTCTAAGCAGCTCAAATGAACAAAGACACAGTTAAGCACAAACTGTTTCTTCTAGAACTACTTAGCACAATGTTGAGGTAAATTCTCATTTAAAAAAAAAAAAAGTACGGGGGTTGGAGAGATGGCTCAGTGGTTAAGAGCATTGCCTGCTCTTCCAAAGGTCCTGAGTTCAATTCCCAGCAACCACATGGTGGTTCACAACCATCTGTAATAAGGTCTGGTGCTCTCTTCTGGCCTGCAGGCATACACACAGATAGAATATTGTGTATATAACAAATAAATATTTAAAGAAAAAAAAAGTACGCTTGATGTCAAACACCTTTAATCCCAGCCCTCAGGGGGCAGAGGCAGCAGATTCTGTGAGTTCAAAGCCATCTGGTCTACAGAGTGAGAGCCAGGGTATAACTCTCCAAAAGTATTTTGTCAGCTATGGCAAGATGAACAAACAGAAAAACAAAGACATAAAAACTCTCTGAGCAACCACAAGCACTGCTTCTGGAGGGGTTAAAATCAGCCCATTATTGGAAGGACAGCAGGCAGAGATAAGACCACCACCGCTTGACAGGTTTCTTCAGGCTCCTGGAAGAGTACCTCTAAAGAAACATGTGCATCCACCTCGGTCTGCCTCCCCATCAGGCTATGCCAAGAAACTGGACTAACCCTAGAAATTTCACTCGGGAGATTGACGCCTGGATCCCACAGGAGGAAGGACTGGTCTGAGGGTAGGGAAAGGGATCTCTCACCGTTCTGACATCTTGTCTGACCGCCTTGCAAAGAGACTTCCACCAAGACAGTGAAGGGTCAGTGCTGGATGGACCCATTCCTCTGCCAGGATGGCTTAGCTGTGCATGACTTCTTACACCTAAACTTCATGTCGGGACACCCATTAAGAACCCAGGTCAGTGCATCCCCTTGTCCTATGTCCCAACACTGCCACACTGAATAAATCTTTTTCTACTTTTCACTATCAAGTCTGTCTTTAATTTGCTTTGAAGATGCATTACTAAGCCTGCTTTGTTGGGCTGCTAGGGCACTAACCTAATAGCTCCAGAACATAAAAGTATATATCAAGAATGAGCAGGAGAGGGCTGGGGAGGTGGCTCAGTGGTTAAGAGCCCTGACTGCTCTTGTAGAGGACCCAGGTTCAATTTCTGCTGTTCCCGTGGCAACTCACAGCCATCTGCAACTCCAATCCCAGGGATCTGACACCCTATTCTGGCTTCCACAGACACTGCGTGCATTTGGTACACAAACATACATGCAAGCAAAACACCCATACACATTTAAAAAATACAATGGAAAAAAAAAAAACCTCTAAAACATTTCCTCCCAATGACTATTCCCTGACATTTTAAATTTTTCATTCAGAGCAAGTGTGTCCACATTCACCCCCTTAGCCATGATCTCTGTGAGGTATGCTGAGTGGCCACCCTGTCAAGCTGTAGGTCTTAAATTGCCCTCAGGATGGAACAGCCCCTTGCTGCGCAACCCACTCTTGCCAAAGGGTTTGTGCACCACAGGACTTGCAAAAGTCTTGAGCTCCAGGGGTCCTGTCAAGCTGTGGAGCAAGAAATCTTCCAGCACACAGTGGAAATAGTTAGGAGGGACCTGGTTATAACAACAGAAAGCAGCTCTGTCATTTTCAGACAAAGGGAGGAAGGACAGCGAAGCTCAAGAGCACAGAAGTCACAGGCAGTGCCTTTCCTTGTTGGCATCTTTCTACCAGCCAGTCTCTCAGCCCTCATCAAATCTGCCTGATGGCACGGCTCTCCTCATGCTCAGGACAGGAATGATGGGCACTACTTCTCCCATACCCATGGCTTTGGTACCTTGGCATCCAAGTACTTGCCAAATAGACTCCCAACACCATCAAAAAACTAATTTCATTAGGAGATTCACGCCAATATTTTTATAAAATTTTGAGTATCACCAGCTTTCAAAGAAATGCGTACCTTTACTGCAAGGGCGCCTGTCCATCCTTGGCCACCTGACCCTTGGTTTCGGGGGTAGGGGATGCTCAGAGCTACCTAGGAACAAGGTTCATGATTCTTTGCCCTACGAGCAAGTCTACCTTTTTCTCGAAGGTTGGTGCGACCTTCACCTCCTCATCTCTGGATCTTCAGCCCCTTTATGTCCTGACAGCATCTGTTAATGCGAAGGCATAGGTAGTTGAGGGGAGCTGTAGCAAGCAGAAGGCCAGGGACAAGAGAAGGAGTTCTCAGGGGACCTGGAGGGTGGGTAGCCAAGCCTGACTAGTTTGCCGCCAGGACAAAGGCTCTGGCTTTGGTAACCTCAGTGACAGCTGTCAAGCCAGCCTGGAGGAAAGACACATTTTGGGTGGCAGCCACTGTCAGCAAGCTGACCCCAGATGTAGAGCCAAAAGTTGAACTGCCCCAGACAGCTTCTAGAATTGCTTTTTTCCAGGGATTTTTTTAAAGCCTCCAGTTTCAGTCAGCATCATCTGCTCTGTTAGGTAAAGCAGAGAAGCGAGCATTTGGACTTCATTTTGAATATTTTAGGAAGCTTGACCCCTTACCATGTCTTTCCCCAGTTGGGCTTTGGCTTTCCTTTGGGTCAGAGCGCTTTTGTGCACTTTGGGTGCTGTCTAAACCATTTTTGGTGACTGCCACGTGGTGATTAGCTTTATCTTTCCTAGTTCATCTGAGCCATTTGAGTTTTGTAGAGCTAAGTGTGGGCGTCTGGTGTGGGACAGAAGCAGCGGGGGGAGGTTTGCTCAGAGCACCGTGCTTCTCCGAGTCATCATATTAGATCACGGGCATGCCTCTGGAAGACACTGGAGACCTAAGCTGGCCAAATCTCAGGGGCTGAAAAACTCAGACCACGCCCCCTGCAGCTCTCTGCCCGAAATCGGACTCATTTCTCAGAGTCTCATGATAACGACTGAAGAGCTGTGACTTTTACTTCTTGCTAGATTTAGGCCACTTTATGCAATGGGGACCAAACAGCATTTACTGTTACCGTCTTCCTTGACCATTTTTTATGGCGTAGTTCATGTCATGTCCCCGAAATCGAGTGTGAAGAAGTCATACTTTGCTACAATTTTTTTTTTTACATCCCCTAATTTATGGTCTTCCCCCGTACCTGGCTCTTCTGTGCTAAGGAAGGCTATCTCAGACCAAATAGTCAGGTAGGCTATCCCAGACTAAATCCCACAATGTGAAACTTACCACAACCCACTTCGCGGGGGATTTCTCACAACTCTGTTCCGCAACCCTGCACCATCCTGGCCACAATAACTCTCGTGTTTTAAGCTATCTTTTCATGGTGCTCCACTCGAGTTTGGAAGGGCAGCCTCTCCTTCCCTTTCAGGCCCGTCATGTCCTCTGATATAACATACTGCTGATTTGATGGAGACCCTCTCTCCCACTAAAGCTCATTCCTCAAGGATTATTTGGTAGCCGCTCTTTTCCCAAGCCAACCCCCAACACCCCTTCCTTAACACATCTGAGAGAGAGAGAAATGAGAGTTTAGAGGACATTTCTGTTGCAGTGATGTAAACATGAAAAATATTAAGCCTACTCTCTTGGTGCCCCCTAGAAAAAATTCTGACTAGCCTTTGCTAATCTATGCTAATTTCTAAAGCAACATGGGGCCAAGCCAATCTTTCCCACAGATAACTCACTACTCAACCCAGGCCACCTGATTTGTGAATTTTTCTTTATCTGCATACTAAACTTTCCATTCTCAGTGTGTCTGTTTGAAAGGCATATGTGTGTAAGCATGTGTATATATGTTTAAATGTGAGTCTTTGGGAGACAGTTTTGGACAGTTAATAAATTGCAACTACTGTCTTTATATTGTTCTCTCTCTCTCTCTCTCTCTGAAAACGTGGTGAGTGAAAGTGGGTGAATTTAGAAACTAAAATGAAAACCGGCTTTATAGGATTTGACTTCAAGCAGGCCTATCTGAATTGTCATCTAACTGAAATGCTGGTTTTGTGTCTGCTTCGTTGTGAAATGGATTCAGTCTGGTGCTGATAACTCTGGAAACTAAAGCTGAAAA